AAAAAGAGGTACCATTAATTATTACCCGCTCAATCATACCAGTTATCTTTATGCTCTGTGAATAATGTCAGCCCATTCCTATTTACTTAGTTTATTTACCTATATAAATCTTTATTTAATATTTTCGCATCTCTATTATTTCATTATAATTTTCATTCGACGATCTTCCCTCGCATTTGTCGTGTGGGGAAATTATCCCTGATGAAGTAATGACCCTGGCTTTCAATGATAAATGGATTTATCTATAAAAATTTTTTTAAGGAGTTACTTACTCAGAATGGAAAGCCAAGGATTGTGAGTGCAAAAAGTGTTACGAAGGAGGTGGACCATTTGTAAAAGAAAGTGTTTGTGAGAGTAAGGAATACAGCTGTAAGGGATACAAAAACAAGTCACAAGAGTCGAAGGATCGTGTAAAGTATTGCCCTTCAGCTTCAAGTCTGGGTAGGAATTGATAATTTTTAAACAAATTTATAATGTTTCTAATATTTCTAACTGCATGGAATATATGTGTTTCTATCTAAACCACCATTTGGCCATGGGTGTACGCTGTCGACGTTAGGAAATGCAAAGACTAGTTTTCGCGCGCTCTTTTTCTTCTGGTCACGTAAGACTTGTTAAATAATCAAACAAATATTTTTTTTTCGGTCCTGCCAAGAGAAAAACTATGTAACAATGCAATAAAGATATTATGTAAAAATTACATCATTTCTATCATCTATTAACTAATTTGTTTATTTGTTCTATCGTTTTCAGTGGTCGGCGCGGTTTCCAACCTTATTCTGGCCATGTGGATCTCTCTTTTTTTCAAGTAATGAAAAGTTTTTCACTTGAAAATTTATGCTTTCGTCCATTAATTAAGTGGGAATCGCTTGTGACGCATTGTAAATCTTCTACATTAATTGCAATTTTCTGTTTGTTTTTACATTTTCTAGGACGTGCTGAGAGGTCTGACGATGTCGATGCAGTAAAAAAAAAAAAAACTCGAAGGTTAAAGTCCAGCGGTCTATGCTTTTTCTAACGTGGGATGCTTTTGTCTAGATTGTTTGAGTATATATCGAATACATAATACATATATTATGCAGACCAGTTTATTACTTTATTAACTACTAGTTAGATTATAACCCGTGGAATGTATTTGCCATTCTCTCTGTTCGGAAGCGAAACAGGAAGTCCAAACGAACACTTTAATTCCAACACGGTAAACTGTCAGATCCACGGTAATAGCTTGACGCCTATTGTCAAATGATCGGTTAGCTTAGTCAAAGATGCAGATTAATTAAAGAGGTGTAACCTGATATAAAACTGTCAAGATGAGTTGTAATTAGAAAGCGAGGTAAACACGGCCTTAACGTCGAAATATCTGAGAGTATTACGAAATGCAGGCAAAAGCGGATTGACGTCAGCATTTCTAATCACTTGGGCTAACACAGTAACAGGGCTGGAAGCATTCGGGATATCTTTATCAACTCCCAACTTAACCAACTCTCGAAGGTAACTCGAACATGAAACCGTTTGAGTAATCAAATGTGTTCTTCGTTGCCTTAGCTGAAAAAGACACGTATTACACATCTCTTCGTTTGCATGTCAATGTGTTATCATGGTTACTCTCGAGGAAGACAAGATATTTTTGTGTTTGGCTCCTCTATTATGCGTGCAATGTTTTCCGGCCGATTCGCTATTAAATGGAGGTGCTAAGATATTGATCAAGTCTTACTTTATGGAGATCATTTTTTTCTCAGTGGATTCAGCAGCAGTGAAACGTTAGGCAAAAATAATTCCATTCTGAGTAAACTGCCGACTACAGCTTGCTGGTCTCGAGAGAAAAGAGAGGAAGGTGTGAAGCCAATCTGCTTTATGTCGAAAGCAACTTCAGTACCACAGGCAAATCATCAACAGTGTTCTTCGTTGAGGCGTTAAATTTGATCGTTGAGTCAAAATCTCTGCCCGTTGAGGTAAACAATTCCACCATTGATTTCCATTTGCCCTTTGAGGCGAAAGAAAAGATTGCAATCACAGATTCAAAATGTGGATCGCTCGTTGAACCTAACCTTTCATCAAAATGTAGATCGCTCGTTGAAGCTAACCATTCAACTACAAACTCAAATGACTGCTTGGGCTTTGAGACAAATTCTGAGTCGATTTCATCCGTGGAGAAGATCCATTCGACCGTCGAGTCCAATTGTTTTTCAACTATCGAGTCAAAAGAAAACTTCTTGCGCACAACATTAAGTTGTCGTTTGCTCATAGTTAATCGAGTCCCCTCGATGTTTAGCAAAAGCCCTTTGAAACTAAACTAGTTGAAAAATTATAATTCTCTTTTAAAAAGCCACACCAACCCCTAT